AAAAACTGCGTACTTGCTAAAGTGGTCAACTATGACCATGACTTGGCTCTTGCCATGCCTGCTCTTGACTTGAGTGTCCATGAAATCTATTGACACTGAGTCTCCCGGCTGATCCGGAATGGGCAAGGGTCTGAGAAGACCTAAAGGGGCACGCGTAGAAGACTTGTTACGCTGGCAGACCTTACAACTGCGAACATACTCTACGCAGTCATTCTTCATCCCTGGCCAGCTATACGCGCGCATCAGATTGGCTAAGGTCTTTTGCCAACCAAAATGACCCTCCGTGTCATGGCATTCTCCCAAGATCAGACTGCGGATCTCTTCGCTATTGGGGATGCACAATCGGTCAAAAACATTAGTCTTCTCAAAAAGCAACCCTTCAGTAGTGCGGTAGTTCGGCTCGGTCTCTGGGGCCTCCTTGACTTTCTTAAGGAGCTCACCATAGATAGGGTCCTGTGCGTAGGCTTCTCTAACCTTCTGCTGCAGATCCTTTCCTATATCGAGGTAATGTACTATTGCCCCAAAGTAATCTGCTCTCCTACTCAGAGCATCCGCGACTACATTGTACTTCCCCTTGACAGGCTTGAGCTCGAAGTCGTACTGATCTATCTCGGCGGCCCACCTAGTAAGCTTAGSTGTCATCTTGGCCTGCGTCTTTAACCATCGTAATGTTTCATGGTCAGAATAGACTTTGAAGTGCCTCCCAAGCAAGTAGTGCTTCCAGTGGTCTAATGCTTGCCTGAGAGCGTAGAGTTCCCTCTCATAGGTAGATGTCGCAACCTTTTCTGAAGGCATCCTAGCGGACATGAACTCTACGGGTCTATAGCCATTGCCTTCGTCTTGCTGTAACACTGCGCCTATGCCGTACTGGCTAGCATCCGTAGTAACGACAAAAGGCAAGGACGGATCGGCGACCTTAAGGACCGGGTATTCTATTAACGCCTGCTTTAGCTTCTTCATGGCAGACGTGCAGTCCTTGTCCCACTTCCTATTGTCTCTTTTCTTAGCAATCTGCGAAGGGGCGCAGCGATGGTGGAGAAGTTCCTCACGAACTTCCTGTAGTAATTTGCTAAGCCCAGGAATGAGCGCAACTCCGTTAGCGTACGTGGCGTGGGCCAATCTCTAATCGCTGCGATCTTGCTATCTTATGGCTTAACGCCGTCTCCGTCTAAGACGTGGCCTAGATACAAAACTTGGGTCTTCGCCCAATCGCACTTCTTCGCATTGATCTTGAAGTTAGCTTCTCTCAGCTTCTCCAAGACCTGCCTGAGATGACCCTGATGCTCATCGAGGGTCTTACTAAACACTAGAATGTCATCTAGGTACACTACAATAAATCTATCTAACCATGGCCTTAACAAATCGTTTATACAACGCTGGAACGTAGCTGGCGCATTGGTTAGTCCAAAAGGCATCACTATAAACTCATAGTGCCCGTACCTAGTCCGGAAGGCTGTCTTATACTGATCATCAGGATGTACCTCTATGTGATGGTATCCGGACCTTAAGTCTATCTTAGAGAAGTACTTGGCCCCTTGCACTCGCTCTAAGAGATCGTCTATCCTAGGCAGTGGCTCAACATTCTTTACTGTAATAGCATTCAGACCCCTATAGTCTATACACATCCTCAGCTCTCCCTCTTTCATAGGGACAAAGAGAACAGGGGCTCCAAAAGGAGACCAACTGGGCCTAATCCAACCCTTTTCGAGGAGCTCGTCCAACTGCTTCCGTAGCTCCTCTAACTCCCGCGGGGACATCCTATATACAGCACCCTTAGGAGTTCTACTGCCAGGCTCTATCTCAATACGGTGCTGGATGGGCCGCGGCACCGTGCTTGTCGGCGGCTTAGTTAAATCCTCAAATTCTTCCAGCAATTTGGCAATAGTAGGGTCTACGGGCTTCTCTTCCTTAGGCTCAGTCACTGGCCTAATATAGGCGACAAAGACCTGTTCCTCCAATTTCTCCTTCTTCACCAATCTGGCGAATGCGGGCGCGCTCAGGCAACAATGTGCCAAGGAATTCTCTACACCTGACACATGRAACAGGCGGGCAGTCTTAGCCTCGCCTAAAGAACTAGGGAGCCTACACTTGTGCTCCTTCAAATGGAGCGTGGCCCCGGCTGCCTCTCCCCAATCCATTCCCAGAACAATGTCGAATGGGAGGCTGTCTTCTACGAGGAGAGTCAGGGAGTGGAGGACCTTCTCCACTTTCCCATCCTTCTCTAGGCGGAAATACGCCTGGACTCCCTCTACATACTCCTCTACAACCATAGTATGATTGTCTGCGAGGATACTAACTATGGGATCTGCTAGCTTTTGGACTTTAAGCCCCAGCTTCAACTTCTGCAGCGCCTTCCTACTAATATAGTTGCGGGTGGCCCCTGAATCTACTAGGGCCCCTACTCTACCTCTAAAAATCTCTACATCTACCAGAATTAGCTGTCCTTTCTGTTCTTTTTTCATCTTGGCCCAGGCGGGCATCCTCTCCTTCAATTCTTCGGCCACGCCTGTGAGGGAGGTGTCTAAAGAGACCCTGACACAAGCAGTCTCTGGACAGCTGTCTAGACACCGGCCTGCAACCTCTGCCATAGGCACATGTGGTGT